AAAAGCGGTATACTATTGCAGACAGCTAGAGCGGATATATTACCTACAGATGACAATGTGCAAGTCCAGACTAGAATTTTATTTGACAGCGGTAGTCAGAGGTCATATATATCTGACAAGGTTAGAAGTACACTGAAATTGAAGGCAATTAGAGTGGAGAAAGTTGTAATCAAAACCTTTGGGCAGGCTGAGAATAGTGAGGTACAGGAACTTGATATAGTTCAACTTAAGGTTAGAAATAAAGGTGATGCTAGATTTACATTTGTAGAAGCCCTATGTGTCCCAACCATATGTAGTCCGCTGACACATCAGCCCCTGTCAAGTGTGCATGAATTACCGGAATTTGCAGGGTTGGAATTTGCTGACTTTGAGCACAAGCAACACCAAAATCTTCCAGTCGGCATTTTGATTGGCATCGATTTTTACCATGTCTTTATGACTGGTAAGGTTATAAGAAGTAAATTAGGCCCTGTTGCATGTAAAACTAGAGTGGGATGGGTACTTAGTGGTCGAATTGGTTCAAGTACATCAGATATGCATTGTTTTGAAACACATTTGCTACGTGCTTCGGTGGAGCAGTCAGAGTCAGACATAAGCTTACGGCAAGAACTGGATAAGTTTTGGAATGTGGAGAGCATAGGCACTAAAACTGACAGTGTTGTTGACCAATTCGAAAATGACATTATTCATGACGGAACTAGGTACATCACAAAATTACCATTTAAACCTGATCATGAGGTGCTCCCTGACAATTTTAAGGTTTGTGAAGGACGGCTTAAATCACTAAAGAATAAGTTGGCTGTGAGTAACATTTTGCAGGAATACAATCAAATATTCTCGGAGTATGAAGAAAACGGTATAATAGAGCGTGTTCCATCAGCTGAGGTTGCAAGGGAAACAGGGCAAGTACACTACCTTCCCCATAGGCCGGTTATACGTAATGATAAACAGACTACCAAAATACGTGCAGTATTTGATGCCTCATGTAAAGTCAGTGGTCCTTCTTTAAATGAATGCCTTTATTCAGGTCCTAACCTGATAGCTAAGATTTTTGATATTTTACTTAGGTTTAGATTGAATAAGATTGGGGTATTAGCTGACATAAAACAAGCTTTTCTAAATGTTGGTATAGATGTACAGCATAGAGACTACCTTAGATTTTTGTGGTATGATTTGCAAGCTGAGGATGAGCAGGTAGTAATTTACAGGTTTTTAAGAGTAGTTTTCGGAATTACGAGTAGTCCATTTTTATTGAATGGGACCATACGACGTCACCTCAGTAATTACTTAGAGAAAGAAAGAGAAATAGCACAGCGAGTTAAAGATGATCTTTATGTTGATGATTTGGTCAGTGGCTGTAATAAACTTGAGGAGGGTAAAGCCCTATATGATAGAAGTAAGGCAATTTTATCTGAAGCCGGTTTTAATTTGCGCAAATGGGTCACCAATGACAAAGAATTAGCAGGGTACATTGCGTCAAGGGAAAACGGAGACAACAATTTACTAGATAAAGATAATGACATGACTTATTTTGAGGCAACGTCACCAAACATCACTGGCGAGCATCAAGTTGTTTTAGGTGTAGGGTGGGACACAACCTCTGATGAATTAATTTTTCGTTTCGACGATTTGATTTCAAAATGTGCCACCGTTAAACACACGAAAAGGAATATGTTGAGCATTTCTGCTTCTATTTTCGACCCATTAGGTTTCATTGCTCCAGTCACTGCCAAAATCAAAACCATTTTTCAGTTGCGTTGCAAAGATAAATTGGACTGGGATGAAATTATACCTGAAAAAATTGCGGATGTTTGGACCAAATTTGTCGAGGAATTAAAACAGCTCGCGGAAGTACGGCATAGTCGGTTTGTGTTTACATCTAATTTTTCCTCCGGTAGTCATATAGAGCTTCATGGTTTTTGTGATAGCTCTAAAGAAGTTTACTGTGCGGTTGTCTACCTACGGCTTGTCTATCAGGGCGCGGTCCATGTATGTTTTTTAGCTTCAAAAACTAAGGTAGCTCCCTTAAAAACACTCACGATTCCTCGGTTAGAACTCTTGGGGTGCTTACTCCTTAGCAAATTAATTCGCGAAGTACTCATAGGAGTTGAAAACCGAATTAATTTGCATGATATATTCTGTTGGACTGATTCCGAGGTTGCTCTTTGTTGGGTTAATGGGAAGGAGAAGAGTTGTGAACCTTGGATTGAGAATAGGGTTGTGGCTATAAGGAAAGTGGTGGATCGTGAGAAGTGGCATTTTGTTAGGGGTGAGGTAAATCCTGCTGATATCCCTACTCGACTGTCTTCAAATTTAAAAGATTCTTTTTCAGGCTGTTGGTTTAGGGGACCTTTGATGTTGTGGTCACAGGAGTAGGAAGTTGACAGGGTAAAAGCTAGTTGTGGTAACGAAAACTCTTTGGTTGGGAGGGTTGATGTAGAAGTTCCTACTGAAGTTGTCAACTTCAGTAACACGACAGAGAAGGGCACGCCTAACAACAGCAGATGTTCAATTAGTGCTGTCATTGATTGTACTCGTTACAGTTCATTAAAGAAACTTGTTCTGGTTACTGGGTATGTGATACGTTTCATAAAGAACGTACGGAAACGAGTAAAGAAACAAGACGATCTGGTTTGCGAGGACGTATTGACTGTCAGTGAATATAACGCAGCGTCACACATGTGGATAAAGGACGAGCAGTTATTAATGAAAGAACAAGATAATTATGCCAACCTCTGTGCTTCACTTCGCCTATTTGAAGACAAAGATGAACTGTTACGACTAAAGGGACGGTTTGCTAATACGTCATTAAAGCATGAAGAACAACACCCAGTTATACTTCGAAGCAAGAACGATAGTTATTTCACTCGGTTAGTTATTTTGGATGCTCATGAAGCGACGTTACATCATGGCGTGGAAACAACATTGGCACATATTCGGCGCAAATTCTGGATTGTAAAAGGACGGAAAAGCGTAAAGGAAGTTTTAAGGAAATGTGTTACGTGTACAAGATATCAGGGGCGACCGGTACGTGCTCCTGCGAGCCCTGATTTACCGCATTTTAGAGTGGATCACTTGGCGCATGCTTTCCAATTTACTGGTCTGGATTTCGCAGGACCTTTATTTGTGAAGGATGGGCTGGGAAACAATAAATCGTATATTTTGTTGCTGACGTGTGCTTCGAGCCGTGCTATCCATTTGGAACTTGTTTCGGACATGTCAGTTCACGGTTTTCTGCGGGGATTCAAACGATTCATGGCGCGAAGAGGAATTCCAGATTTAGTTATAAACGACAATTTCAAAACATTTAAATCAGCGGAGGTAAAGAAATTCATGACACTGCAAGGTATTCAACAGTATTTTATTTTACCTGCTTCGCCATGGTGGGGCGGGTTTTACGAGCGTTTAGTCCGATCGGTAAAGGGATGCTTGAAGAAAACTCTTGGTAAAGCATTCATAACGTTTGAGGAACTTCAAACTATATTATGTGAGATAGAGGTCGCAATCAACAACCGACCGTTAGCTTATGTGAGCGAGGACGATTTAGACGAGGCGTTAACGCCATTTCATCTTATGCATGGTCGCAGCATGTCTACGGGAAAGAAGGTTCTAACTACGGACGTTGTGTCTGTTATGAGTCTCGAACATTGCAAGAAACGGTTATTCCACTTACGAAAGTTATTGAAAGATTTATGGTCGAGATTTCGTAGTAATTATCTAAATGAACTTCGTCAGATGAACATTTACCGCAAGGAGAAAGGTGGAAAGGCTAGAATGATCGAACTCGGAGATGTAGTGCTGATCAAAGACGACGACCCTACACCGCGGACGCAATGGAGAATGGGCAAGGTTTTGAATCTGGTGAAAGGTCGTGATGAGAAAGTACGTGGCGCTAAACTGAAGGTGCTTTCTAAAACTGGAAAGCAGACATACGTGTTTAGACCAATTCAAAGATTGATTCCGTTCGAAATTGTAGAAACATCAAGAAACGATCGTAGAGATGATAATTCCGAAGGACAATTGAATGAAACGATTGTAGAACTGCCGGAGATCGAGAACAGTGATGAAAACAGGAAACAACGCAATGATGGACGAGTTAGGAGAAAAGCAGCGATCGAAGGGCAGAACATGCGAAGAGCTCGTGAACAATATTATTAAGTTAGGATTTTATTAACGCTAGCACTTAACAAACTTTTAATCTTTGGTTGGGAGGATGTAGAAATTAATATTTTTAGGTCAGTTTCGTACTTCATGTTAACAAATTAGCAGTATTGCATTTTGATTGGTCATCGCAAATCATGTGAGTGATCACATGACAGGACAATGAACGTTTGAACAATAACTCAGTGTTGTATGTCAGAGAGAGACGCACGGGTGTGCAAATTTATGTCGCACATAATTTTAAATAAAACTTTATAAAAATCAAGAGAAGGTCTTGCTTTTTAAATGTACTTCACGCGAGAAAAACATTTCATATATAATACATTAATTCTGGTAGTTATACTAAGCCATACTCCTCGTCTTTATTTCACCATGAAATTGGCTGTTTCCGCATAAATCAATTCTGAAATGTAAATTGGAGAAAATAGAATATAAATATTCAAGAAGAAACTTCATTTAATGAAGCCGCAAGGGCGGATTTTCAGATTTTTGAAAGGAGGGGTGGAAAAAATTCTAGTGGGGTGCAAGCGCATCACTGAGTGAGCTTCGGCAGGGGTTAGGCGTTAGGGTTAAAGATTTTCACACAAAATAGTAATAGTAATAGTTAGTAATAGTTTATTAAAAATCCCCTTGCAGTAGAAACTGAATTACACGTCATTACAAAAATCTTATTTACGGATATTATTTACAGTATATAAAACTTATACAAAATTATCTGAGAGGTGTACATAATTTATTATAGTTAAAAATGAATGTATAACTAGACAATAGAGTTATTAGGTTCAACGATCACAGTTCAGGTCGCATACTTAATGGTAACGAATTTCTGAAACCGGTCTGTTCGCATTCTGATATTCCTCGCAACATTGTCAGATCTAAGTTTATAACCATGGTTCACTGGTGCTGACCGGCTATGAACAATTGGATAGAGTGGGTTTCCAGGTAGGATTGTCTCCACAAATCTCTTACAGGCGGCGTCCCTCCGTAAGACAAGCGGTTCGATACCAGCTAGTTTTAGGGCATCATCATAGGAACAGTTAGAATATATTATGGCCAGTGCTCGTTTCTGGACCCTTTCAAGATCGTCGCTAAGATTTTGAGGAAGGTTGGCCAAAACAACAGAAGCATATTCCAATACTGATCTTATAATTGCACAATAAACACATAGGATGTCTGTTGGGGCTACCCCACTCCTCTTAAGCTTCCTCAACGCATATAAACGCCTATTGGATTTCTTAATAATGTATTCGCAATGCACAGACCATGTTAAATCACTGGTAACATACACTCCGAGCAGTTTAAATGATGAAACAGATTCCACGCGTGTTGCACCAATGATGATAGGTTGCAAAACACTAGTATTGAAATGAAGTTAACAATCATATCTTTACACTTGGCAGGATTCAGCTTCATATTGTTCACTTCAGCAAACGAGTGTATATCTGCCACGATATGATTCATCAAGGAAGGGGAATTTCTAGGTACAATATCCAAAGCGGTAAGATCATCAACGAACTTAGCACGGGGGCCCCACGCAGACAAAAGTTCATTCACCATTACGGCAAAGAGGATCGGGCCAAGCTTAGTACCTTGTGGAATACCACCATTGATATATTGAAGTGTAGATGCATCCGACCCAATACGAACGAACTGAGACCTTTTATATAACTAGGGATCCAAGGATAGTGCAGAGTTTCAAAGACGAACGCTATATTGACATACTTATTAATTGAATAGTTTTTTCAAGCGTGGTTTATAGCTTTAATCACATGTCGATATGGTTTAAATCTAATACTTTAAGATTAAAGAATGACGAGAGTTATGTAATATTATTTATTTCCTCATATAATATTAGTCACAAGGCATAATTTCTGTTATAATGTTGTAAAGTTTCCAATTGAAAACGACACTATATAGGGTCGCCGGCAACCTAGGTGACTTTTTAAATCTGTGATTATTCCCACCATCCTTTTAGCGCCCATTTGGCTATCGTCTCAGTGACAACTTGAGAAAATAGCTGTATAAGATATGTTATGAATAATAAGCACTACGACGTTGTATTCCATTACAAAAAAGGAACACAAATCTAAAACACAGAAACGTAAATAAGAGGCGAAAACGCATTAAAATGACGCATTTCATCCGCATTTTATCCCCATATCCGTTCCGTGAATCCGCATCCGCTTTCCGCATTTTAATCTAATTATGACGTGTTTCACAATAACAAGTTTCATTGACCTTTGATATATTTCGAAGGTCACGTTGTTGTTCATGAGTCATTTTCAGCTTTTCGCATGTATTCAATAATGTAACTTTAGATTTCAATAGTTTCACAGTTATTGCAGTGTTTATATAGCAGTTTTGACAAGCTTTGATACAGAGTTTTCGTTGCACTGAACACGAGTTTGCACCGTTGTGCTATACACGTAAACAAAGATTTTCTCAATATTTATGTCTGAAATGTTTATACATTTGAAAACACGGTCTCGCTGCTTCCTAGCTTTGTATAATGAATATACCGTCGGCACTTAATTGAATGCCCGTAATGCAAAACATTAATTTATATATTGCGTAGAATCTCAAAGATTTTCTCAATATTCATGCCTGAAATGTTCATACATTTCAAAAGACAAAACAACACTGTCTCGCTGCTTCCTAGCTTTGTATATTGAAATTGAATATACCGTCAAAATAATATCGGTACTTAATTGAATGCCCACAATGCATAAGTCATAACATCAATTTATATATTGCGTAGATTCTCAAAGATTTACTCGATATTCACGTCTATAAAAATGTTTATAATTTGAAAACAACACTGTTCGGCAGTGTCGCTCCTTCCTAGCATCGTCATTCGTCACGCCATCGTGATCTACAGCTTGATAGCACATGCGCATTTGCGCTGCTAAAGAAAAAATGGGTGTTCCGGGGGAAAGATCTTTCACACAACACGAAGAAGCAAATGTTATAAAATTGACAAAAATTTGCAATAACAACAATTCCTGGAAATTTTTGTGAACTTGGCAAAAGGACAAAATAAGTATTTAAATAAGACAACTGAAATTGCCTAAATAACCTTCAAAGCATTGACTAAGTAGAATAAATTACCACGACGATAAATCGTATACACCCCCCGGAACGTTTACTCTATGATATCTGATGTATGACAGATGTGAATTTTCGCCACTCATCACAATAGTGCACAGTTTCAAAGAAACTCTGCACTAAAAAGGAGGGGTGAAGCAAAATTTTGGTGTGGTTGAACACTTTATAAGAGGGGTTAAAGAGATTCTAGGAGGGGTTTAACCCCCCCCCCCCTAAACCCCAGTAAATCCGCCCGTGACTGAAAGTAAATGCATTATTACTGCAAATTAATATCAGCACAATTTGGAAAAGTCATTTGAATCTTTGCAATGAATTTCCAACCCCCACGGTGAAAACCCGCACTTGATCACACATTTCCAGTTCACTTTTTATACATTACTCTGATTTTCCATTTAACATACAAGCCTCTAGTCCTGGATTAGGGAACATTTTGATTTACGTTGGACAAAGTTGCAATTAGGTCGGGCACCAATGGACATATTATCTAATAAACAAAACTTTGATCTAGACAAGTCTAGACAAAAATTTTATCAAGGCTTGAAAGAGCATCACAAAATTCGTAATATTCCGAAGTTTCGTTGCGAAGTGTTGTAAAATGCGGATAATATAGCCCTGCGAAGTTTGCCGTTTTTCAGTCATTTTGTATTACGCACGGGAAATTGATACCTTTTTTCAGAAAGCGATATCAATTTCCCGCGCGTAATACAAAATGACTGAAAAACGGCAAACTTCGCAGGGCTACAGTATATTATCCGCATTTTACAACATTTTGCAACGAAATTACAGAATATTACTAATTTTGCGATGCTCTTTCAAGCCGTGATAAAATTTTTGTCTGGACTTGTCTAGATCAAAATTTTGTTCATTAGGGAATAGGTTCATTCACTCGGATCAGACAAACAATAAACCTCAGATTCACTTAGGTTGGACAGAATGTCCAGTGGTCAGACAATTTCACGAGGTTCGATTCCTGCACTATATAGTTCTGTGATTATAATTTCGCCTCAGTCACATATGAGAAGAGCGCTTCCAGTTTGACTCTACCAAGCACACAGTCTTACACCAGGCAGAATAGTATAGAACTGACAGCGCTATCCAGTTGAAATAAAGTTAGTTTACTTTCGTTTTCTTCCTGTTGCAACACTGGATAAGTAAGGGACGGACCCTTACTGGATCTCTAGGAAGAACCATTTACAAAGAAATGATACAAAGTATATAAATAAACACATGACTTTTACGCTATTTTTACCTTTGAGTTCCTCCTTTGGAAGATTGTCAAGCTCCGTTTCAAATCTGAATGGCTGCTCAGCGATTGGCTGAAATTAAAATAATCCGAAAGTTAAAGTGTGAAATCCTACAGAGTTGCACGCTGCGGAGAAAAGAAGAGCTGATGAGAAAGACAGAGATGACAAGGTTAAGATGGGTCTTGGAGGTTTCGCTGAAGGACAAGATGAAGAATAATGAGATCTGAAGATGTGGGGTGGAAGACATTACAGAGAATGTGAGGCAAGCAATGCTGGGAATATATAGACACGTAATAAGAAGAGAGGAAGGAGATTGCGTCAGGGACTTTATGTATACACAGTCAGAGACATTATGTAATGAAGAGATCAGAAGATAATGCGACGTGGTAGACATTACAGAGAAGGAGAGGCAAGCTAGGCTGGGAATATGTGAATACGAAATGAGAAGAGACAAAGGAGAGCCAGTCAGGGATATTGTGGAATGAAGAAATCTGAAGATGTGAGGTGGCAGACAATACAGAGAAGGTAAGAGAAATAAATACGTAATAGAAACAGATGAAGAATATGGACACGTAATAGGAAGAAATGAAGGAAAGTGGGTGACGGACTATGGAATGAAAAGATCCAATATGCGGTGGTAGACATTGCAAAGAAGGTGAAGAAAGCAGAGCTGAAATGGTATGGACACATAATGAGAAGAGATCAATGGACTGCGTAAAAGAAGATCTACTGTAAATATCAAGGAAATGACAGTAGTCATCACAAGAGATTTGTCTAGACTGGAGTATTGTATAGTAGTTTGTCCTTGATATCAATCTCGATTTCTCTCTGTTGTTAACGGCACACTCACTTCACCCGTCGGATCGTAATACTGTTCAAGGTAAGGATGTGCCAAGCATTCTTCAACTGAATATCTTTTGTTTGGATTGAAGGCTAACATTTTACCAAGTAGATCCAGAGCTATTGAAAAAGAAAATGAATGGATCGGTTAAAATAAATCAAGTTCAATTTGAACTAGCTTGTGAGTCTGACCTCAATTTGATTGAAAAACATAAACAGTAATTGTGTCTTTACCAAATGGATTCAAATCATTTGCTGAAAAATTAGTTTATTCTAAGCGTCGCAAGTATTATTTATAATACACGTGTATGCAAGGCAGGCCTCGAATTTCCCTGAAATCAATCGACGGCAATGGCGTTAAAAATTGCCGTAGAACGTAACAGCTGTCTACGGCAATTTTGGCAGTTTCCACGGCATTTTTTCAAATTACTGTAACAAAAATTTAATTTTATTGTTAATATAGTAATTTAGTGAATAGTATAAAAATTATACTATACGGCAAAAAATTGCCGTCGTTTCCGCAATGATCCACAACATTTTGTACTCCCTCTACGGCAATTGCCGCGATAAAATTCGAGCCCTGGTGCAAGGGACTGGGACGAATGAATATAAACACAAATACGTTTAAGATTGGTCTTGGGTAATTCTATTGTATACATTACGCTTGCATCTTACCTTTGGGGTTAGCGTTTGGGAATAATCTGCTCCAAGGAATTTTTTGCTTGCAAGGTAAAGCTTGAATATAGCTTCTTGCCTAAAAATTAAACTTTACTTCATATACGAGCTTTGACATGATCAATTTCAATAAAATTTTGCAACTGAGTATTTTTGTATTCTGTGGAGGATAAGTCATTCTTTCAAGCATGGGTTAGCTCATTCTTCACACAGCATCAGGCAAACTACTGTACCATAGGTCTAATTGGTACCTGGTGTGATTACCAGGGATTCATTTGTTTAGAATCTGTGCTGAAACAATTTAGGAGGGAACTTTCTTTTTGCGCGGTGTTGTTTATATTAAAATTTCCAGCGTACCTTATCATTCTTTATACACTGCAAATCGTCCAAAGTAGGCGATCCTAGAACACCTAGAATGTGATTTAACTGATCCAAATCTGTAATTCTATAGTTAAGAATGATTTATTTATTGAGTGTACTTGTACCATCGTTAGATATCTCCTAGCCCATTTTATAGCACAATATGCCAAAATTTTAGGGAGAAATTTCTCCCTTCGTTTTGCATTTTATTTTCAACTTAACCCTATGTATATTTTCTCCTTATTTGTTCGCCAAGCATCAGTTGTTTGGCTTTCATTCACCAATTACTAACTGTCTAACACCAGACGATTTTACTACTCAACAGGGAAGACAGGGGCGGATCTACCTCATCTGCAAGGAGGGGTGGAGGTTTTCCATGGGGTCCTCTGCAGCATGCAACGCTACTATCCCAACATTACCATTATTAGAGATGGTCGAATCTGCATGTTCGCCGTTCTGTTACGCTTTACATTATGTTTTGTTTATAACGCTTATATCGGCTTTTTATCACGTATGCGTGACTGGACAGTTGCAGTAAAGTGCAGTATATTTGAAAATATGGCTGTATAACAACCTCGACATGTTTACATATTTAACCATGATATTTAGCCAAAGTATTCTGAGTACTTTCTCGTGAGCTCACAAATCAATTAACTCGTTTCAAGAAATCGACACGCGCTAACAGTAGAAATTCCGCTAATTGCGCGATTTGCAAGAAATATTTCGCTGTCCCAATTTTCCGCTCAATTTCTTTTGAATTGTGAGCGGTCAAGTAGAACTTAAAAAAAAATGAACAATATTTAAAAAATCACAATTAAAAAAAATCACGCGAAACACATCAACGAACTGTGTATTACAGTATAAATTTGTCTAAAAGCTCAAAATTTGGTTGCAATCTTGAACACTAGTTCGCCCTGAGTTCACCAAGCAAGAACCAGCACACAAGGATACAATGTTTGCCAGGAAAGAGAGGTTTGTTCGACAACATCTCAGCCAAAATACACCCAACAGACCAGACATCAATTGCTTTTGAATAACCCTTTGAGTTGAGCATGATTTCTGGAGCACGATACCATCTGGTTGCAACATATTCCGTCAAGATTCCAGTGTGATCATGATCTGGGTCGACGACTCGAGCCAAAAGAAAATCACAAATCTAAACCAAACAATGTTATAAAAGTTATTGTGGTTATTAATTTGTTTCAAAGTCATTTGCAATGACAATTAGCAAGCAGATTAACTCAATAAGATGCAATGACTCATGGATGATGGTAGTCATGGTGGTGGTAATGATGATGGTGGTGGTGTAATGATGATGGTGGTGGTGTAATGATGATGATGCTGGAGATGAGATGGTGGTAATAATGGTGGTGGTGGAGTAATGATGCTGGAGGTGGTGATGATGATGGTAATGATGATGGTGGTGGTGTAATGATGCTGGAGGTGGTGATGAGATGGTGATGATGGTGGTGGAGTAATGATGCTGGAGGTGGTGAGATAGTGGTAATGATGATGGTGGTGGAGTAATGATGCTGGAGGTGATGATGATGATGGTGGTAATGATGGTGGTGGTGGTGTAATGATGCTGGAGGTGGTGATGAGATGGTGGTGATGATGATGGTGGTGGTGTAATGATGCTGGAGGTGGTGATGAGATGGTGGTGATGATGGTGGTGGTGGTGGTGTAATGATGCTGGAAGTGGTGATGGTGGTGATGATAATGGTGGTGGTGATGATGGTGGTGGTGGTGTAATGATGCTGGAAGTGGTGATGACCAAAGTAAAATATATTGTTCCACTTCGTTGCTATGCAAATGTAGATACTTCCAAACGCTTAAAAATCACAGACGATTTACGAAACAGCTGTTTTTTAAAGTATATTAAATCATCATTTTAAAAATGCCACCGCGACCTCGCAAGCAATTGGACTCGAAAAGGATCGAGGATTCACTTCGAGCAAACATTTTGCCATTGGTAAGTTTATTGAGCAAACTTAATTCATTGTAGTGGCCCTGTGGTCAATAATAGCATGTTATGCAGCTGAATTCACGGCAATTCATGCAGTCAATTTATTAAATTCGTCTAGATCACCGAACAGTTGGAAGCGGTAGCATGCCGTGCTGTTTGGAGAGTTCGTGAAACAGACATTGACATCGCAAGAAATCAGATCGCTTCAAAGCGACTTCGCCTTGACCAAGTGGTTTCTTCAATGAACGGCGTTCAATTCTTTTTTTCCTGCGTTACAAGTGTCATGTGCAACGCAAAATCCGCGAAAGACGACGACAACGAAACAAGTTACACGCCTGAAAGCTACCCAGCGATTGCCTACTTCGTCGTGTACAAGGAATGCGCAACTTGCAACGAGAAGATCTTGTTTTCCACCATTCACAACGAAGAATTAGATGCAGAGGTATCGCGAATTCGAGTGCGAAAATCATCCGATAGCAATAATGAAATGGAAAAAGCTGCAAAACAGTTATTCCAAGTGGTCAAGGATCACAGCAACAACACCATCCAGGAGATGCTCCAAATATCAAACGCGTATTGCTGCAAGAATTCCGAGGGAACGCCGTCAGATGATGATGAAGAGGATGATCAACCCGAGTTTGTTTCAACTCATTTCCCCAATGTCCCCTGCTGTATAATCGTCGTAAACGAAAGCGAGTTTCGGGATCGTGTGGCTACAGCAGTTACAAAGCTGGAATCAGACGGACTTGTTGTTGATCTCGGTAATGCATGCGTTGTAAAGTTGGACAATCCACCGTTCTCATCCAACAACGATGTCGCCGCCTTGATAAACAACATCGATAAATGCATGAAGTTATGCGACCACGCCTTATATCGTTCAGAAATTTACACCAAACCAGAGGGTTCAAATTTAACGTTTGTAAAAATGATGGATGTAACTAGTTACTTGCATAAACTTCTGGCTAACGAAGTGTTGCGTGACAAGCTGATTCAGCATTTTCAAGCGGTCGATAGACTTCTGTCTCATCCAGCATGCGCAATAATTCAGCAGATCAAATTTGACGTGGATCTCATTGAAGTATCAAACGGGTACTGTTTCTCGATCAAAGCCCGAAAGTTCATCGTCTGTCCTATCCCGGAATCCATGCGTGGAAAACTGTCGCCAAGATCTTTTGTTCCATATGACAGTTCCAAACCGCCGAAGCCTGGGTATTTTCGAGAAGGCATTGTCAACTCCTTTCCCGACGACGACGTGC